CTGGGCGCTGTCCCTCAGCTCTTCAGCTCAAGGCTAGCACTCTACCACTTGAGCCACAGCGCCACTTCCGGTTTTTTTTCTTATGTGGTGCTGAGGAATCGAACCCAGGGCCTCTAGCATGCAAGGCAAGTGCTCTACCACTGAGCGAACTTCCCAGCCCCATGAGGGATCTTTTTTAAGAACATTTTTTTAAACTTATTTATTGAGATTAAGTGATTACATAAATTTCACAGTATTGTGGGATAGTGATACTTAGCTAAAGTCAGCAATACATTTTAACCTTCACAATGCAAATTGTCATTATCATGGTCTATAAAGCTTATTAAAGCTACAGACTTCAACAATACAACTATTTCATTCCAAATCAGGTTGATATGTACATTTTTTTCTCTTGCTTAGTGTAAGCTGTTCCCTCTTTCTCTATTATTCCCTCCCTCCCATCTCTGCCCTTGAGTTGCTTAGTTCACTTTCTTCAATGTGTCCCATGCAGCTGATGGGGGCGGGGGTGAGGGGTGGAGGGAGTGCTGCTGTATTTTTTCACCCATTTCCCTCTGATTCTGTGCCCTCCTCCTAGCTTCCCTCAGATGTGCACATGTATATATCATATGTGGGGTCCAGAACACAGAGTCATCTAAAAATGATGGGACAGATTAAGAAGAGATCCTTTGTTTCTTGAGTCCTGTTTACTTTTTCATAGCTGATTGTGTTTTGAATTTAACGTCTGCATATCAGGGAGACTCTCCAATCTTGGCTTATCATGATTGTTCTATTCCATCCATCTCCCTGCGAATGCCATTATTTTGTTCTATCTAATGGCTGTGTGATATTCCTTTGTATATAGGTACCACAATTTATCTGTAGTGGGACATCTGCTTTGTAAGAACACAATCTTTGAGTTGGGGTTTATCATGAATGTCTGGCTTTCTCCTTCAGAGATATGGGATCAACACAAGTGCAACTTATGACAGTAGAGAATGTCCTCATGTTGACCCTTTCGTTGGAAAAACTGTAAGTTAACTGTTTTTAGATTTGTATCACTTTTTCAGGTTTGTTTTATTACTTTCTGAGGTCAGGTTTATTGCAGTGACATTTTCATGCACTTAACTTTACACTTTTTTAAGTATACAGTTTAATGAGTTTGCATAGCTGTAACCACTACCGCATTCCCATCACCCACAAAAGTCCATCAGGCTCTTTGCAATCAATCCAATCCTCCTCCTCCTCCTACCCCTGGAAACCTCCAATCTTACTTCTGGCCCTACAGGTCTATCTTTTCTAGACCATCCTATAAATGAATCATAGAATGTATAGCCTTTTGGGTTTGGCTTCTGTCACATCACAAAACCCTTAGCTTGTCCCACTGGCAGTGGATGCAACTGTAATTGCTCCATGTCTCCCACGATCCTCCTATTTCCATTTTCCTCTGCCAAAACTGTACAACCAAGTGACCCAGAAATCCTTAAAGTCAGACTACTGTATTCTCTAATCTGAGTTTCTTTGACTCACTCCCCAAATCTACCTTGTCAGATATGCTCTTTGCTCTAGGCATCAATATAAATTGATACTCTATAGTCTAAGCTATTTACCAGAGGACCCTAGATCCTTTGTTTTCAGAAATGGCTTTTGAGAATGAAGTTGCTGTCAACTGTTAAATCCTGACCTCAAACTCTTCCTCTCTGTTCACCTCTGAGAGTAGTCTGTGACCTGGGCCCAGACCAGGTGTCCCAGCCTTCTCAAATCCTTAACTTCCAGGCTCATCTTTGTGATCTCTTTGCCAGTAGTCAGTGTAAAGTGACCGCTCAGCAATCAAGGCTCTCTACCAGCACAAGCTAGAGCATATATTTTCTGAAATGGCCCTTTAGCAATGAAGTTGCTCTCCCTGGGCAGAAGGCCAATTCTTCCTTCTCTATGGCTATGTGTTGTGGCTGCCAGCCTAGTGGACACTGGCTAGGGATCACAGAACACACTGATAACTTATGGGTTTCTCCATTTCCAAGCCTGGCTGCAGGCTGTTTGAACATAGCTAATATAATCTAACTGGTCCCAAGTAAGAAGCCAACCCACAAGATGGAGTGTTGTCAGTGTTCCCAGATATGGGGAGCAAAAGACTCTTGTCTAATACTGTCCTGTCATGTCATGATTATTGCTGGTAGTCACAAAATGATTTCTTTTCATGCCAGTCCTGGGGCTTGAACTCAGAGCCTGGGTACTGTGCCTGAGCTTTTGTACTCATGACTAGTGCTCTAGCTCTACCATTTGAACCACAGCTCCTGGTGTTTTGGTACTTAATTGGAAATAAAAGTGTCATGAACTTTCTTGCCCAGCATGACTTCCAACCATGAGTCTCAGGTCTCATCCTTCAGAGTAGCTAGGATTATAGGGGTGAGCTACTGGTGCCCAGCTAATTTTCTAATTGTATCATTCCTCCTCATTGACCATCTTGCATTACTACATTACAGGAGAGCTCCCTATCTTTTTAAGTATTTAAGTATCACAATGGAATAGTGGATTCTTCACATTATTTGTTCCCTATTTTTATATTTTTCCAGTTTTTTATTGTTATTGTAGAATTGATATACAAAGGGGTACAGTTACATGAATCAGGAATGAGTCATGAGTACAATTCTTTTTGAGCATGTCTGTAGTTCAGTCACTCTCTCCTGGCCTATTATCAATTGTTGGTATATGCACTGCAAGGACCAAAGCTAGTCTCTCAAATGTGGCAGGCAAGCACTGTATTATTGAGCTGCATACCTAGCTTTCTTTATTCTTTGTGTGTGTGTGTGTGTGTGTGTGTGTGTGTGTGTGTGTGTGTGTGTGTTGGCATGTGTATGAGCCCCATTCCTGGGTCTTTAAACTCACTGGAGAGGCACAAGTCTAGAGTTTTTTAAAATTTTTTCTCAAGGCTGGTGCTCTACTACTTGAGCCATAGCTCCACTTCTACATTTTTTAGTGTGTAGAGATAAGAGACTTATAGACTTTCCTATCCAGACTGGCTTCGAACCTTGATGCTGAGATCTCAGCCTCCTAAGTAGCTTGGATTATAGGCATGAGCCACAAGCCTCCTGCCTTTTCATTCTTGTATATGCTCAGATTGTCTCTAGCCAATATGATCCTTTCTTTTCTGTTTTTTTTTTTGGGGGGGGGTCCGGTCATGGGGCCTTAACTCTGGGCCAGGGCACTGTCCCTCAGCTCTTCAGCTCAAGGCTAGCACTCTACCACTTGAGCCACAGCGCTACTTCTGGCTTCTTTTTTTTCTGCTTATGTGGTGCTAAGGAATCGAACTCAGGGCCTCGAGCATGCCAGGCAAGCGCTCTACCACTGAGCCACCTTCCTAGCCCTATCCTTTCTTTTCTAAGCAGATAATATGGAGTATCTAAGCTGTTTTGATGCCCTGTGTAATTTCTAATATTTACCACTTGGAACAGAAATTGCAGTTGCCGGGTACCAGGGCTCATGTCTGTAATTCTATCTTCTCACGAGGACAAGATCTGAGGCTCTCTTAGTTCAAGGCCAACCCAGACAAGAGAGTCTTTGAGACTCTTATCTCCAATTAACCACCAGGAAACTGGAAACCGCATTGCTGCTCTAAATAGTAGAGCACTAGCATTGAGCTGAAGCACTCAGGGACACCTCTGAGGCCCAGAGTTCAAGGCCTATAACCAAGGCAAGAAAGAAAGAAGAAAGAAAGGGAAGAAAGGGAAGGAAGAAAGGAAGGAAGGAAAGAAGGAAGGAAGAAATGAAGGAAGAGAGACAGAGAAGGAAAAAAAATTGAGGCAGGGAATTCTGAGTTTGGGAGCTTTGCAAACTCTTCTTAGAAGTCTTCTTCCTTCCTTTGCACTCACCACCCAGAGTCCTTTGAATTAATAGGAAATGCTTCTGAGATAAACTACAAATCTAGGCTTCTTCATTCTAATCTATTACCTCAGTTTGAGTCAGAACCACATCACTCCTATGCTTAACCTTCTATTGGGCCCCTCAGTCTTCCTCCCTGTTCCTTTTCAAACATTAAAGAGCAGAAGTTTACCAAAGGGTTCCTCTTCAACTGTTCAGGCCATGTTCCTCAACAGCTCTTTTCTGAACAACTGAAAAGAGTTATTGGGTTGGAAATGAACTATACCACCGGTGGGTAGAGGCAGAGGGAAAAACTGGAAGAGAGTGAGGGAAGGGTCGATACTGCCCAATAAGAATGTACTCATTTCTGAGTTCTGTAATTGTAATGGAAGGACATGCCTCTCCCCTCATGGCCCAATCATTTTATGTATCTAAAGATGGAATGTGAAGGATTGACCTCAACACTATTGTTCCAGGCACAATCAGACACAGGCAAAACCCCTGGTATGCACAGACCTGCTTGATGTGCAGGGAGGGCAATCCACCTAAGCTCAGCTGTAAATATTCCATTGTGGGCCCACCCGAAAAGCACCCAACTCCCTAGTCCTAATGGATTTTTCATTAACCTCTGACTCCTTGCTCAGGCCCCTACAAACCTGACCCCAATTCACCCCCTCACAAAACCTCCAATCCCACGAGAAGGTCTGTGACCATCACTGACAATAAACAGTCCTCGCCTGTTGGCGACTGAGTCCAGCCTATGCCTTATCCCTTCTCCTCCATTTCCTAACAGTAACCTCTCTATATACCACTTTTATAATAACAATATAAAAGGCTAAATACAAAAGTTACATTAACTATAAACATAAAAAATAAAAAAAAAAGAAAAGAAAGCTCAAACCAAGAAGGGGAACAATGGAGTTAATGGTGTTTCATTGGCTCTTCTACCACTCCATAACCCCTTCTCCATTAACTTAATTCTCAACGTTTCCATTTATAGGGTCTTGCCTCACAATATGGCCAGCTGCCTCTGCCAATTTAAAAACAATATTGAGGTTATCTGCAAGACAGTCAAGATACATTGTGACAGTGACTTGCTGACAAACAACACACACTGCCGTGAGTCTGTTTGCATTTTTACTTCTCCCTGGTGATTTGTAAATTAATAATTGCTTTCTTTTTATTCATTTATCCAGAGCTAATCTCTCTACATTTATGAACTGTTCCCTTGATGAAAGTCCCCTTTTTAGGAGTTATTGTATAATTCAATCATTTAATTGCCCATATGCATAAGAACCAAGAGAAGGGAATGCAAGAAGAAAGGAGATTATCAAGGGTCACGTTGCATGTACTGTGCAAAGTAGACTGTAAGATTCTTTGTCTCAAGTATTCTTTATCTCTGTGACAAGTGCAGCTAGGTTCTGCTTTGTTTTCTTAAACAGTAGAAGTGATGTTGTCTTATTTGGAGCCTGTGAATTTCCAATTTTCTACCCACCAGTTGTTACCTAGCTTTCATAACCAATCAAAGGCCTCTTCCAGGTCTAGACTGTCCAACTCTGAACATGCTTCAATCTCAAGCTTTCCTACCCACAGTATATCCTTTGGTTTTGAAGCATTTTTCCCTGTACATTACTAAATTTAACTTTGTGACTTCCAAAACATGACAGATTTGAATATAGGTTTCCACTGGTGATGTAGGGCAAAAAGTATATAACACTCTGCTACCATGTTGCTTAGTTATCAAAACAATTTTTCATTAATGCCATTATTTCCTTCTCTATCAGTGATAGGCAAGCAAGGATTTTTTCATCTTTTATAGCTGAGGGAAATTAGTTCAGAGAAGTCAAATACTATAGCCTCATGCCCAAGTCTTGAAAGCCTCAAATCTGGACTTACCAGAAGCCAAAGTTCCTCTTTTCCCACCATCTAACCTCCTTCTGTGACCGACCTCGCTACCAAGAAAAGAGCTTTAATTCTCCTAGGCACTGGATGAAACACTAATAAGTGTTCATGTTCTCTGATTCTTTGGATGCTTCCCAAATAACACTGGAGAGTTTGAAGTGAAAAGGAACTTTTTCAGCTCCATGCTGTAATTTATGCCAATAACCACAGCTACTCAGAAGGGAGAGATAAGGGAGATCATGGTTCCAAGTAAGCCTGGGAAAACATTTGGCAAGACTCCATCTCAACCAGTAAGACAACTGTGGTGGCATATGTCCCTGATCCTAAGAGGGAAGCTATAAACAGGAGAAATGATGTTAGAGACCAGCTTGAGCAAATAAAACCAGAAAACCCTAACCAAACAGTAACTAACGCAAAAAGGACCAGGTGTGGGACTCGAGTGGCTGAATGACTCCCAAACTAGCAAGCACAAAGTCATGAGTTCAAATCCCAGTAATGCACAACAAAAATGTAGGATTTTCTTTTGCATGTTTTAGAACACCAAGTCATATTTATGCAGAATTGCTATTACTCTATTGATTTCTTACTGATTGTGCATTAACATACAAACAGGATAACTGAAAATTGCTTAACATACCCCAACCCCATGTCCAAATTGTAGAGCCTACGATTAGGGAAGCAGGACATATAGAATCAGAGGTCAAGTGAAGGTACTGGGAAGGTAGGTGGGAAAGAAGTCCAGTTGAGGACCTGTTGTTAAAAGGAGATGGACCTCTGGGTTAGCCTCTGCCTGGCTATCCTGAGGACCATCCTTTGTCATGGTTTCTGGTATGGTAGAGTTCCTATATTTCACGAAAATTAGGTCCTCAGGTGTTCCGAGTAGGTAATTACTTTGTTCAGGCTTGTCTTTTTCTGTTTGCTGTTGCCATTTCATGGGCTTAAGTTTGGGCTTATTTTTCCCCTCTATTGACACTCAAATCTTTGCTGACCCCTAATGTATTCCCTGGGGTTGTGAAGTGGGGGAGTGCTAAGAAGCTATCAGTCTTCCCCTATCAAAGCAGTCCCTTCCTTTCTGACAGTTGAAGAAGCATCCATAGAGAACCCAGAAGGAACATTCATGAAGGTGTTAAAATCCCGGAAGAAGAATACCAGCACCGAACTCGTGATTGAACCAGAAAGAGAATATTCCAACAAAAATGACATTACCCAGTCAGGACTCATGAATGAACAGCCAGAAATTAATGAGGGGAGTGATCTTTTTACTGCACTAAGATACATATTGGCCTATTTCACACAGGGAAATATAGGAAATACACAATCTACAGAATTACCATTCATTAAACTGCTTCTCTCAAATGTGCAAAATGGAGATACATCCGTCAATGATTTAAAAGCCAATACAGGGATTCCCTCAATTATATATTATAATGTTAAAAAGAAAGAGGAAGCATCAATACAACCTCAACATTTAGGTCCTAAACTTAAACGGCAAATCTTTCCCCAAAAAGTGCCAAGTGTTGAACCACAGGAAGACATCTGGAGAGAAAAGGAGAGTGCAGAGGAAAGACTGCCAGGGCTCAATGGAGTCCTCAAGGGGCCAAAAGGCAAACAGAAAAGACACTTCAAGGAAGTGAGTAAACAAAGCTCCTGGATGAAACAGACTGCCCAGAACCTTGTGGACAGTACTCGTAAAAAAAGGCTTAGGACACCTCCAACAAGCGAGCTGGAGCCGCTTCATGGGGCTCAGGAGCCCAAGAAAATGGCGGGAAACTCCTTGCCCACAAAGCCCTCATTCATAAAGAAACTTAAGGCAGTAGCCGCTTCTTTCCAGAAACAAGACTCTGGGGGAAAGGCCTCCTTATCCACCGTTGTAAAACCCCTACGTGAGGACGGAAATAAAGACAAAGACTTAGCCGACAGCATGTTTATTTTAGAAGAAGCAAATTCTAGAGTTAAAAGCATGGAGGCTTCTAATCCAGTCATCTATTCCCAGAAAACATACCATGCTCCTGTGGACCCCAGAATACCCAGGGCCAAAATGAGTCAAAAGTTCAGAAAGAAAACTTCACGCTTTAGACGACTGCTGGTAAACAGGCCTCCATTTTCTGCAGTAAGGAGCCTCATCCATTCCTCTTCAGGAGGGGACTTTTCATCATGGGGAGAGCTGAGGTCTAGGGAGAACTCTTTTTCAGAAGTCTATGTTCCTTCAAAGCCTTCTGTAGAGAGCACTCCTGTAAGACACCAGATTGTAGCAAATGCTGTGGTAGGAAATACTGCTGCACAAAACGACCCTGTGCCAGAAGGAAGTCTCCCTAAAAACATAATTCAGGAAAAACTTGTTGCTCCAGGACCCACTGTGACTGAATCCAAGGTAATGCTGCCAATAGAAAGCAATGATGAGGCACAATGGGAACACCTCAACATAGGCCCTGATTCATCTGTGAAGGCTCCAATCACCCATGCCCAATTTCCATCCTTTGGCGATCATTTTGAATTGCAGTTAAACCAGCAGCTGAAGCCCCTCATTCCTAATAATGATGTGAGAAGACTCCTGTCTCATGTTATCCGGACCTTAAAAATTGACTGCTCTGAGACTGATGTGCAAATGGCCTGTTCTAAACTCATCTCCAAAACGGGCCTGCTGATGAAGCTTCTCGGTGAACAGCAAGAAGCCAAGATGTCAAGAGCTGAGTGGGATATGGACCAATGGAAAACAGATAACTACATCAATGAAGCTCCAGGTGAACAGAAGGAACCAATTGAGGTGAGGCAAGCCCTGATTTCCCCATCCTTTAGATACACCTTGAAGGAGGAAGACCTGGGCTTTAGTCCATTCCAGAGTCATGTGACCAGGAAAAGTGCTCCCTACTCCTCTCCTTTATAGAGTGGACCCAACACACAGAATAAGTATAGAGAAATTGCAAAGTAGTAAGACATAGAATACATTAATTTTTCCATTTGGTTTTTGTTTTTCCTAGTTAACACAAGAAGTTCCGGGATATGGCTATAACAACAAAATCATCTTGGCAATATCTGTGACTGTAGTAGTAATGATTTTGATTATAATTTTCTGTCTCATTGAGGTAAGGACCACCATTCATACATGTTTCCACATTATATCTTGTTTCTGTAGTAGTAATGATTTTAATTTTCTGTCTCATTAAGGTAAGGACCACCATTCATGCACGTTTCCAGATTATATCTTGTTTTCTGTAGCCAAAGCCGTTTCCCACTCTCCAGATAGGAATTCTTTGACAGTGCATAATGGTTTCCCTATGGAACAGTCTTGATCATTTTCAGTCCTGTGGTAACAAGGTGTGACTGCTCCTACAATAAGAAGTGAGGTCTCTTGTTAGTAAGAGTTGAATTTGATGCCAACTAGTTGGGGACCACCCTAGGATCAGTGTGCAAAGGCCATTAGTAATTGATCACTGGCCATTGAACAGGCAGGCCAACTGAATCTAGAAATTTCTTTTTAGTCGTGGGGCCTGAACTCTGGGCCTGGGCGCTGTCCCTCAGCTCTACAGCTCAAGGCTAGCGCTCTACCACTTGAGCCACAGCGCCACTTCTGGCTTTTTTCTTTTTGCTCATGTGGTGCTGAGGAATCAAATCCAGGGGCTCAGGCATGCAAGGCAAGCGCTCTACCACTGAGCCACCTTCCTAGCCCTATCTAGAAATTTCTTATAAACTCCTGTACTGCCTTTAATTTTTATGTACAGTCCAATGTTGTCTTTATATTTATATATTTTCATTATTTTCTCTGCTTACTTAGATAAGCTCTGTGAGTAGAGGGGAAAATGCAGTGTTTCCTTTGCCATTGAAAGTCATGATCAAAGACGGAGATGAGACATTGTGCTAAGGATCGGTGTTTGAATGTTACACCAGCTGACCATGTACTCTACTCCTGAGCTATACTTCTAGCCTACAAAATTTGAAATGTCACCTTTCAATATTCTAATTCATGGGAGAAAATAAACAAAGTGATAAAGCTACCAAACTTTTTTTTAGGAGAGGGAGTGTTAAGTGAGAAATGATTCCTATCTCTCACCTAAAGAAGTAAATATTTTCAGTAAACGTAAAAAGAGAGGGTGAGAGAGAAATCATAAAAGCAATAGGAGACTGTACACAATCAAAAGAGAGCTTTCTCTGCCTGATCCCTTAAGCAGAAACTTTTGATACATGTGCGGATACTAATTGTAGATTGTCTCATCTAACCCTTACAAAAGACCTGAGAGGAAGATCTCATCCATCCTCTTCCACAGTTGGAGGAGATCAATTTCACGTCCCAGTGGCAAAACCAAGGACAGAAACACAAATTCCCCTGACGATAAAGTCTGCAGTCCTTATTGGCTCTGTTCTGTTTTGCCTCCTTAGAGAAAATAATACCAGGAAATACTTCAAACATCAAAACACTATGTAAACCATCACAAACAATTGAAAAGACTAACATAGTTAATGTAAAAGAGAGTTTGTCAGAGTAAGAAAGAGACAACAATCCAGTGGAGGGGCCAGGACTCAGAAGAGCATGTGCATTTTTCTAGTTTCCATTACAACCTATGGCAGACCCCCCACCCTTGCATTTTAGTTTATGTTATGTACTCTGGAGGGAGCGGTCTTTGTTACCTCATGGAATAAAGACGGTTGTAATACTTTCCTAAGCTTGTCTTACTATTTATAGCTTTACTCCATATGGAATTTGTTCATGTTTTGGTATGGTTGAGATAGAGAATTTTTTTCACCTTACATGAATATGGAGTTGTCATAAAACAGTTCTTATTAAATGGTTCATTCATTTTCCATGGGTCTAAAATACCACATTGAACTCTTCCCTTGATCCAACTGTCTTTCCTGCACCAACCCGTGCCAGCTATTAATTAATAACTGTTAGTCCTAGTAGCTTCATAATGCTTCTTTTGTGTAAAGTTTGTCTGGGAATGTGGCTTAGTGGTAGACTGCTGGCTTAGCATGCATGAAGCCCTGAGTTTGATTCCTCAGTACCACATAAACAGAAAAAGTCAGAAGTGGTACTATGGCTCAAGTGGTAGAGTGCTAGCCTTGAGCCAAAAAAGCCCTGGAACATTGCTCAGGCCCTCCGTTCACAACCCCAGGACTGACAAATAAATAAGTAAATATTTCAAAGGTAAGACAATCAATCTTCTGCTCTTAGATCTTCTTTTCCAAATACCAGATCACTCTTCTTTCATACTTTCTCTTCCAAAAGAGAACCTGTTAGAAGTTGTGGGGATTTTGTGGGAGGGGGGGTCAGTCCTGGGGCTTGAACTCTAGGCCTGGGTGGTATCTCTGAGCTCTTCAGCTCAAGGCTAGCACTCTACTATTTAAGCCATAGTGCTATTTCCGGTTTTCTGGTGTTTAATTGGAGAAAAAGTCTCATGGACTTTCCTGACCAGTCTGGCTTTGAAATGTGATCCTCAGATCTCATCCTCCTGAGCAACTAGGATTATAAGCATGAGCCACTGGCATCTGCCACTCTGCTAAATGTTTTTTTTTTTATGTTAATGGAGTTTGAACTTAGAGCTTTAGATTTGGTAGGCATCCCCCTACTACTTGATCCATGTCCCCAGTCTTTTGCTTATGCTTTTCAGCTAGAATCTGTCCTAGAGCCACAGTCCTCTGATTTCTACCTCACAAATAAGTTTTTGGGTTTTTTCTTTTTGTCAGCTGTGGGGCTTGCACTCATGTCTTGGGTGCCATCCTTGAGCTCTCTTGCTCAACATTAGCATTCTACCACTTTGAGATGCAGTTCTACTGGTGGTTAATTTTCTGCCCAGGCTGGCTTTGAATCATGGTGCTCAGATCCCAACCTCCCAAGTAGCTAGGATTATACATGTAAGACACGGTGCCTGGCTCTGTTAGGCTTTTTGGTTATCCATCATTTCATATACAAAGAAAAATAGTTTAGTTCCTTCCTTTCCAACATTTATGCTCCATTTATGTCCTTTTACATTCGTTGGGACCTCTTCAATAGATGTGCCTCATTTATGATAGTAATAATTGTAATAAAGACAGTAATCTTGTCTTTGATTTGATAACAATAGTGTTGTTTTGGTCTTCAGTAAAGATTGTGATCAGTGAAGGGCATTTTCTTTACTGTGTTAGGAGATACCATGGAGAATTTTCTGTTGGATATTATCTAAAATACTGAATAGCATATGTTGTTCTAGCTTTCGACAAGACTCTCAACCAAGTACTGTGGCATAGAACACAATCTATTATAGGATAAAATTCTTGGAGTCAAAAAAGTTACCTCCTGGGTAGAGAAGAGATAAATTAAGGAAGGAACAAGTACTCATACTGGTGGAAAATCATGATTGTATTTTCTTCCCAAACAGATTTATTCCCACAGAGCATCGGCAACAGAAAGTAGAGAGTCCTCAAGGTAAATGGGAGTCTGTAAATCTTCCAGTGAAGATCTGAGAACTGGAGGGGCCCTGAACTCATCTGTTTCTATCCCCTAGCCTTACAGTGGGGAGGGGCACTACCCAAGGTAGAGAGAACTCTTCCTTCCCAGAGGTCTTACCTGGCTCCAGCAAAAGAAGTTCCTCAGCAGAGGCAGAGGTAGCCAGTACTGGCATGGATAGTTCTCTGTCACCAGTCCTTCAGTGAATGAGGGTGGGAGACTGAGAGGTTTCAGCTGTGTCTGCTCCTGCTATTGGTGGGCCTCCGGAGACAGTGTAAGAAATCCGTGGGGTGTTGGGGGATAGGTCTGGTGGAAGGGGGGGGATGTAGGGGTCCTTCCTGTCAGTAATGAGAAAACTCCTCATCCTGCTGGGTACCTTCTCATCCCCACTCTCCTCCATAGGTAAGAGAGACCTCAGATGCTAATTTATCATTGCTTTTGTAATAAAGAAAAGAGAAGAGAAAGGGGAAATGTCTTGCAGCAGGGTCACACTGCTCAGGAGGCTTAGGAGAAAATGGCTCTTTTCCCTTATTACATGGGGACACATTTAACCAGGACACACATGCAATGCAGACATCCACAGTCTCAAGAACCACAAACTGATTTTTCCTGTTCTGCTTGCATTCAGAAATGATAGCTTGCCTTTAAGTGCTAGTCATGTCCTTTAAATTGATTTCATAAATCATTCATCATGACAGCCTTTCAGAGATGAAAATGTCTAAACTACACAACTTTTGAAGTTGTGCTTGCTATGATTCAGCTTATGTAAAAATCAGTTAAAACAGCTAAGAAAACAGAGGGGTATCTCCTTCTCCCCAACAACTGACACATGGTAGACTTAGTCCAAAGAGGACTGAAGTGAAAGGCTCTAGAAAGATCAAATGCTTCTGCACAGAATGGTTGAGCAGTTGTTTCTGTGTAGCGTAAGTGGGGCTGGCAATCCACCTATGCTGCAGGCCAAGGTCTCCCCAGAAGCATTGTAGAGACTTTTGGGACAGATCTGGGGAGCTCTTGCAACTTCTGCATGCATACATGGAATTGTTTTCAAGCCCCAGGTTAGGATAGCCTTTGCTCATTGTGATTATGAACCAAATTATGGGGGTTTCTGTCAGTAAGATCTGAGATGTACACTGTGAGAGACATGGAAAATGGCATGAGTCATTGTCTGCTTCCTCTTCCCCCCAAGGAACTTTTTTGGATTTCTGCGAAGGAAATGCTCATCAGAAACTACAAGTCAGGCAAGTTAAGGACTTAGTTCTGTGGCCAGAAAAGGGAAGCGAATGTAGAATTAATATTTCTCCTTGTCTTTCCTAGGAGGGCTTCTCCTTATGGCAACCAGTTTGGCTGAGGGATATGTACAGACCTCTCAATGCCACACGCAAGAAAAGCATGGCCAACAAGCTACATGACAGGGACTCTTCCGATGAGGAAGAGAGTTTGCATAAGAAGAGAAAAGGGTAAATGTCTGGGGGCAATTCAACATTCCTAGCTAACAAGGGGAGGCAAGGAAAAGTCTAGTTGCTTCCATCAATACTGAAAGCCTGGTATTGTTCCTTTTACAGGGATCCCAGTGACATCATCATAGAGATTCCACCATCATCATCACCACCACCAGCCTCACCACCACCTCCTCCTCCACCTGCTGAAATTAGTCCACCGGTGATCCTGGGTGTTGTGGTGCTGTGCGTGCCTCATAAGTCTGAGACTTTTACACTTGGACTCTCACATTGTTTATTCCACACCTAATTTCTAACATTTGCTAACATTTTGGCATACTGTTTCCTCAGATTAAATTGTATACAATTCATAACCATTTCCATGGGTGGTACTTACATATATGTGTGCAGATAACAGGGGCACAGGCAGGAGCGGCAGGACTGTGGCTAGGGCTGTGTCATGGCAGTCATGCTTGCAGAAGGTATAGGTGGCTTCCAAAGAGGACATCCTGCCTGCATTCTCTCAGTGTCTTCTGGGGAACAAGAGAATATATCCTCAGCATGTAGGTTTGGGGTTTTGTTCAAAATCTCAAAATCTGCCTATTTTCTGGGAAGTTTCTGGGTAGTGATAGAAGTCAAATATGGCTAAGGAAATTAAATGAAAAGGAGAGCTATAGATTCTTCTGGAAGTTCTAAAGATCCTAAAAGTGGGACTGGAGGAGGTGAGAAAGGGCCCACATTACTTATCACTATAAATAGATGCACATTCGGGCCTGAGACTTGGCTTCAAAGCAAAACCTTTGCTTTGGGGGCAGCTGCCTGGCACTAATGGGAAATATCCAGACCAGGCTTATGGGTTCCTCAAGTCTCTTCTTTTATATGTAAGAGATGAACCTTTTTTTGAAGCTTAGCCTTCTAAACCCTTTCTTTGAAGCTTAGCCTTCTAAACCTAACTCTGCCCACTTGGAGACAGGTTTGTCACAGGCAGACCTGTCTGGATCTTTAAACTTTAAAGCCCGTGGTTTTGGTTTATGAAGAAGCAGTCATTTACAAAGAGCTTGACCTTCTGTCTTCAGGCCATTGTTCACTTCTAGCCACCTTCACAAGATGTCATGGTCACCAGAATGCAGGGGTCAGTGAGACTGCTCCTCTCTGGAATCAAGTCTTTTTCGCAGGTTCTCAAACTCACAAAGTAATGTGTGCCCTGTCGTATATGATTTTGTTACCCAGATCAGCTGCTTGAGAACTTCACATTGGTTTATTTTTCTTTTTAAAGACCTAGTACTTGCCCAACTAGCAGGAAGGTGCTGGAAAGAGTAGGGAAAGTACAATATGCACAGGGAGTCAGTGATTTCCCAAGATGGCCCTCCTCCTACCTTACTGCGGAAAGCAGTTGGTGAGGCCACTTCTCCCTTCACATGGACTGCTCCAGCCTCTCCTGTCCCACGAGAGCTGCCCAGCTCTGCTCAGCTTCACACATCTACTTCCTGCCCCAGTCCATAACTGTGTGCTTCCAACTGGTAATTTTCAGAGGGTAGAAAGGTTTTTCAACTTCACGCTCAAATTCAAAGTCCATTAATAATTCATTTAGAAGGTAAAGCTTGGAAGGGGGGACCAAGATGGCGACGGGGCAATAGGGAAACACCACAGCTCTCCCCAACCAAAAAGAGAGTTCGAGTTCCAATGCTTAATCTCCCCAAGAGACCGACAACAACAAAAAGACGAACACTCAGAGAAAAACCGGAGGTGGAAAATAACAAAAAAAGAAAGAGAGGAAAACAATTTCAGAACAGAGAAGAGCGAAGACCCCTCCCCCTTTAATGGCCGCGCGGCAGTGCGCCAAGCCACCGGCCAGCCGGCCCGGCGGGGGCTGCCGGAGCCCCAGATACACAGGGGGCCGCCTGCAGATCACCTGCGCAGAAGCCACCTGAGGTACTGGTTTGCAGAACAACTGATCGCCAGGAACAGAGAAACCTACCAGCCGGGAGTCTCCACGAGGATCCCACCCCCATCCCTCACTCTCCACCTGAGCAGAGAGGCTCCATCCCGCCAAAGCCGCCTGGCTCCGGCAGCGTGACAAAGGGACCTGTCTTCAGACCACCCACACAGAAGCCCCCTGAGGCACTAGACCCATCCGTTCGCGATCACAACGACGGGCCACCTGGGTCCCAGAGGCTGCCTGCAGATCACCCGCACAGAAGCTGCCTGAGGCTCCGGCATCAGACCCACTGGATCTCTACAACCCGCGAAGAAGCCGCCTGAGCGTGGACACGACAGCTTCGATAGAGGCGGAGACAGAAAAGAATCACACAGAGCCACCACCGCCCAGCCAAGCCCGAAACCACCCTAACTGAACTCGGATTGCAACAACAACTGATGACCTACACCACACACAAACAACCAGCTCCAGGGTGAGTACCCCACAGGGGACAATATATCCCTCAAGGGAGACTAGAGCTGGAGGGAATCCCCAGACCCTGACCTAGACTCCCTACCCCAACACCCAGACCACAGGACCCACTAAAACTGGGAACTGTTCGAGAGCTCCACCAGCCCTTGGAGCACACTCCGCTGGCCAGGCCAGAGCCAAGAGTGCCCCTGGAAGGGAGCTTAAATGCCCAATCCAGGAACAGCGCCCCTGGGTAAAGACTACCAACAGTAGAAGAAATTTGAACTGTGTCCTCCAGGCTGCATAACCTAGGTAGTATACACATCAGCACAGGCCTAATGAGCGCACTCCAGGCTGGGGCCGGAACCAGGCCCGGGGATCCGGCGCCTGAACAACACAACCAACTCCTCCCAACTGAAGTAAAAAGCTGAGCATACGCCTCAACAGAGGGGAGAAAATCAGGAAACAGCACTCCCCGGGAAGCACGCCTGTGACAACAAAAGACCTGGAGGCCCAGGACAAGAGAAGCCCAAACCCCACCAAAACTCCACCCGTATACCCTAGGCTGGAAATTGGGCAACACAGGCTGCCAGCACCTGATAGTAAGCAGGAGCTCAGGCTGATAAGGTGGCTCAGCAGTAGAGTGATAGTCTTGGATGTATGAGGCCCTGGATCTTGATTCCTCAGCATCACAAAAGCAAAAAGGGTCAGAAGTGGTGCTGTGGCTCAAATGGTAGGGTGCCAGCCTTGAGCTGAAGAGCTGAGGGACAGCACCCAAACCTAGAGTTCAAGCCCACAACCAGCCCAAAACAAACAAACAAAAACACATCAGGAGCCCATAGCAGACTCCAGTATTTGGGAGGGTGCA